GTCTTGATTACAGAAATTTATATTACAAGTACAAATAGGTGGGGGAAAGAGGAGTCTTGATTACAGAAATTTGGATTACAAGTACAAATAGGAAGGGGGGAAGAGGAGTCTTGACTACTCTGTGTGTGTGTATTAAATTGTGCAAAGAGTTATTTTTAAAAAGAAAAAGAGAAAAAGGAGCTCAAGGTCAGAAGACTAATATATAGATTTGAGTAGAAATTAAAACTGAAATATACTTACCTGGGAAGAAAAGGAGCAGAACAAAGACGATTGATCTTTTTCGATTGAAAGAACAAAGATTGCTCTTCGGAAACAAACGGAGTGTTCAAAAAAAATCTAAGGGAAAGAGAGAAAACCAGATCTTACATAGACTGAACCAAAAGCAGTGTTCATACATATAGGGTCTCGTGGTTCTTATGGGCTAGGCCCAACTAGTTTCTCCAGGACCCCACTTCCACGTTGGATCGAGATTTCGCGGTCAAAACTTTTTTGTGACCCGCCTTTTTTCCTCGTTTAAAACCCAAATCTACAATTCAAAATAGTAAAAATTGTACTAGGCGCCCTATTTGGTCGCCCCATTTAACTTATACTCATTTTTTTTTAAAATTATAACTTGTACTCATTTTTTAAATAACTTCAGCCCCTTTTCTCCTTATCCTTCTCCTCCTTTGTTTTCTTCTTCTTGTTGTTGTTGTTCTTTTTTCTACTGTTGTTGGTGCTGCTATGAAACTTTAGTTCAGGGGATGATTGTCATAATTATGTTTATCAGATTATTTAAAAATAATTACGTAAGTTAGTAGACAATAATTTATGAATATTTTCATGTAACACTGTTCTTTTCACGTTTATTGTTTTCAAAATTTATGATTTAGATACTGTTGGCAATCTAATTTCTTCATAGTAGTAATACATTATGAAAGAATAAGGTGATTATTTATCTAGTGTGTTAGATAAGTTTTTCAAAAACTTCAGCTTATATAGTGCTGAAGTTTTTTTCAAATGAACTAAATAACTTCAGCATCTTCTGCTGAAGTTTTTGAAAAAGCTTTATGACAACTAATGAATCCAGGATAAAAAAAACTTCAGCTATTTTAGTGCTGAATTTTTATAAATGAACAAAATAACTTAAGCATCTTATCCAGGACAAAAAAACTTCAGCGTATTGCCTTTGCTACTTCAGGTCCGTCTACTGAAATGCTGAAGTTTTGCGTGATTGACTTTGCTACTTTAGCCCCGTATGCTGAAGTTACGCGAAAAAGTGGGTACGCTTGCAATTTTTTTTGCAAAGCGGGCACACGTTAAAACGTGACCCAAAAAGCAGGTATAGACAAATCCCCCTTCAAAATAGGGAAATTTTTCCGTATCACTACAAAGCAGTCCGGAGTGAGAGTGAGCAGTGGGTCGGTACAAACGGTCCCTGTTCCGTATCAGTCACAAAATAATTGGGCCAAACGGTCTTTATGTAGGAACCGGCCCGGGACGGGTCCCACAAACTCATGGTCCCGGGCTAAACGAATAGGGCCCGCGAGCTAAGTGGGCCCAACGGCTAATTTTTATTTTTTAAATTTAAATAGAAATTAGATACAAAAAGATATTAAAAACTATCTAAGACAATGCCTAGTAAAATTTATTATAAAATTGTGACCTAAATTTTTTAATTTAAATTTAAAGACAAAAATATTGTAAATAGGTATTCAAAGCAATGCTTTATAATTTTATTATAGCATTAAAAAAATGTGGCAATATCTTTCTTAGTCTTCCTTCCCCTGTGGAATGAGCACAACAGTGTGCTAATACCACCATTGAGAAGAAGAAAAACTAATCACTAATGCAAAAATATCTGCAAATATCAGTAACTATGCTAGCAATAAATTGTCATGTGTGACGTGAGTTAATTATTCTATAAGAAATTATGCGCTTTTTCATTATCCAATCATCATCAATCCAATGACTGATAACAATAAGGTGATAACAGTCATTGCCATTTCTACCAATATCAGTTGTAATAGCAACATGACAATTTATACGAGTAAATAAATAGTATAGATATATGTTCATATTCATACTTATATTTATAACTATCGCTGTTCTTTGTTGTGCAAGGAAAACCTTTATAAGTAAGATTAAAAAATTCTAATATAATGCACAAAGTTAGGGTCAGAAGGAAAACTATATGGTATGCACATAACAATTACCATTTTTGCCAATTCTTCCGATCTTTTTTTGGATCGTAATATAAAATATCATCGATAATAGTGTTAATTCCCGGTTGAAATTGATTTGAACCGGTATTGGGGCCAGCTTGAATATGACTAGGTACACTTTTTCCCTCTGCCAAAACTTTCAGACATATTTAAAAGCTAACTCCATACCACAAGTTTTTCACTTAGCCTGATTTTGTGGAATTAGTTGAGTAAAAAGTGGCCAAACAGGAGATGTTTCTGTCCGTCTGGTAGGTTGACTAGAAATCGACGGCCCTTGCCTCCCTCTGCTCAAGTTCAACCGCTAAAGACGCTATTTGCGCCTGAAGATCAGCATTCTCAGCCATCAGTCCCTTGCTCACCTCGAGCTCGTCCTCCTTGGCCTCTAGCGCTGCCTCAAGCAAGTTGCACCTACTGATGCCCCTCATAAGTTCCTCGTCCCTCTCCCTCAGCTCCTCGTCCTTCTTCTTCAACTCACCATCCTTCTGCTTGAGCCCATCACGGAGCAACTGAAACTCGCCATCCTGGCTAAGAAAGTCAGCTAGCGTTTGGTGCTTGGAACGGTACTCTCTGTACTTGGAGGTCATCTTCTTAAAAATGGCCGTCCTCCGCTACTCCCGCCGGTCGCGCTCAATCTCCATGACAAGGGTCTGACACGCAAAAATTAAGAAGAGGTCAGTGTAAACAAGTTACACATACGAAATAAACTTAACCTAACATGGGAAAAGCAAAACTTACTCGCAAGGCCATGCCCGATATACCCAGCGATAGGTCCGCATCTTTTAGCGTCTGTAGCGTCCTATTCTCGGAAGCCGCGCATAGGTGAGTGAAGGTCGGCACCGCCCGTTTTGAGTTGTCCAAGAGGTCAAAATCCACGGGACTGACTATATATCTATTAGGAGCCTCCGTCCTTATCTCCACGCGAGTAGTCTTCTCCACGAAGGTGCGTACCTCCTCAAGGACGATGTCTGAGCTAGAGTTATCGACCTCCGCAGGGACAACTCTCCCTCTCCCAGCCGCCAATGATGAGCCGCCTTCACAGCCCGCGTGAGCTCTCCGCTACCACGAACCCCCTAAACCTCATAGGTCCTCTTCTCCATGGCGGCACCCGCCGTAGAAACGGCCTCGACGCATGGTGTAAGCACTTATTCCGCTTCCAAAGCAACGGATCTTACTAGCTCAACATCAATGATAATGGCCTTTCTGGTCTCCACCCTTCGTCTTTTCCTCGTCGATGCCTCCTCACCGCAAGACAGCTCTTCCACGAGGTGAAATATAGGGTAAGAAGAGATCTCATCCGACAGAGCAATAATTTGAGAAGTGGAGTCCCTCATTGGCGTAACTTGAGTCCGACCTCCTCAAGCAGACTCGGCTAAAGAAAACTGCATTCCAGCCTACGTGATAGCCTGGCAAAATGCAGGCATTGGAGCCTTCGCCTTTTAAAATTAAATAGAAATTAGATACAAAAAGATGTTAAAAACTATCTAAGACAATGCCTTGTAAATTTTATTATAAAATTGTGACCTAAATTTTTTAATTTAAATTTAAAGACAAAAATATTGTAAAGAGGTATTCAAAGCAATGCTTTATAATTTTATTATAGCATTAAAAAAATATGGCAATATCTTTCTTAGTCTTCCTTCCCCTATGGAATGAGCACAACAATGTGCTAATACCACCATTGAGAAGAAGAAAAACTAATCACTAATGCAAAAATATCTGCAAATATTAGTAACTATGCTAGCAATAAATTGTCATGTGTGGCGTCAATTACTCGCAAGGCCATGCCCGATATACCCAGCGACAGGTCCGCATCTTTTAGCGTCCGTAGCGTCCTATTCTTGGAAGCCGCACATAGGGGAGCAAAGGTCGGCACCGCCCGTTCTAAGTTGTCCAAGAGGTCAAAATCTACGGGAATGACTATATATCGATTAGGAGCCTCTATCCTTATCTCCACATGAGTAGTCTTCTCTAAGAAGGTGCGTACCTCCTCAGGGATGATGTCTGAGCTAGAGTTATCGACCTCCGCAGGGATAACTCTCCCTCTCCCAGCCGCCGATGATGAGCCGCCTTCACAGCCCGCGTGAGCTCTCCGCTACCACGAACCCCCTAAAACTCATAGGTCCTCTTCTCTATGGCGGCACCCACCGTAGAAACGGCCTCGACGCATGGTGTAAGCACTTATTCCGCTTCCAAAACAACGGATCTTACTAGCTCAACATCAATGATAATGGCCTTTTTGGTCTCCACCCTTCGTCTTTTCCTCGGCGATGCCTCCTCGCCGCAAGACAACTCTTCCACGAGGTGAAATATAGGGTGAGAGATCTCATATGGCAGATAGGGGTGGGCATTGGTCGGTTCGGTCGGTTATTATAAAAATACGGTTCGGTTTATCGGTTTTCGCTTTTGTAATATTAATAACCAAATCAAACCAAAGTATTTACGGTTCGGTGCGGTTTTTTCAAAGTTCGATTCGGTTATTTCCGATTTATATTTTCGGTTTCAAACGGTTGTAGACTTGTAGGAACAACGAAGTATGTCCTTATATAATTATGTACAATACAATTAAATCTACCACATATATGCAAATAATAAGCAACGCCTTTAGTAGAGTATTGTCAACTGCATAGTCATATTCATCTTTAGTACCAGTCATCTGATGTAGCCTACGAGTACGAGTTCTCTTGCTAATGAATCAAGAGATCAAATACTGTTGGACAATTTGCTTGAAGTTGACGATAATTTTTGGTCCGAGGTACTATGGACCCCAGGCACCAGCTGAAACTAATGACTATAACGTTAATGCCCAAGTTGAGGGAACTTGTAATGCTCCAAGTACTCCTGGGAAATATTTAAAACACACCAGTTAGTACAAGCAAAGTAAAGGTATATTGACATTTCAAATTTTTTTAGACTGACCAATCCCCCATAAGCATGTATTTTAAGGACCTCCAGCTGAGAGAGTATGCAGGAACCCCAAGGAACTATGGTATCCAAAATATGCCGGAACGGATGACCCCCAACGTCTACCTCAATCAGCATTGGAACATTTGAAAGCAATAATTTGTGGGCTGATGAAGTCCTAAGTGTTACGATGTTTGTATCACAAATTTTAAGTGATTTTAAACCAACGCAGAACCATATCTCCAAGTGTTTCAACTTGAGGGAAGGACCAACAACTTCCAAATTAACCAGAGTTTCCGATCCATGAACTACCATTTCTTCAACAAATGGACAATTGTGCAGGAAGAACTCAAGAACTTCACCTGTCACATGTACTGACTTAAATAACAGTACCTTTACAGCCTTAAAATTATGCCAAAGAGGTGGCAACTTGTGGACATAATGATTGAGACCAAGGAGCTGCGCTGGAAACGTATAGCAATAATCTGAAGCTTGAATCCTCTCCACACCTTCTAACAAGTCTAACTCCAGCCTTTGAATACTTCTTCATGTACCTTTTCTGAAGCTTTTCATGCACTGCTACTTCACCCAATTGTCAAATACTAGTTATCACTCAAATCATATGTCAAATTACCTAATTAGCATTATGGACCCTCAAAATTCTTTAACAAATAAATAATTAAATTTTATTCATCTATAAGATTAAGAGTAACTCAAATACGAGTTATAATATTGCATATTTATTAACTGAGAATACTGTGGAGGTGTTTGGAGGTAGTGACGTTCCGGTATCGCATATTAGGGTGATTAAGGATATGTATGTTGGTACTAAGACTTGGGTGAGGACTGTGGGAGGTGACTCGAAACATTTCCCTATTGTGATAGGGTTGCACCAGGGATAGGCTCTTAGCCTGTTTTTATTTGCTTTGGCGATGGATGTACTGTCGCGATACATCCAAGGGGAGGTGCCTTGGTGCATGCTATTTGCCGATGATATAGTATTGATTGACGAGATGCGAATCGGAGTTAACGTGAGGCTGGAGGTTTGGAGACAGACTTTGGAGTCTAAAGGTTTCAAGTTAAGCAGAACCAAAACAGAATAATTGGAGTGCAAATTCAGTGATGGGATCCATGAAAGAGATGTAGAGGTAAAGCTTGATGTTCAAGTTATCCCCAAGAGAGATAGTTTTAAGTACCCCAGGTTCATTATCCAAGGTAATTGGAAGATTGATGAAGATGTCGCACGTCGCATCGGAGCGGGATGGATGAAATGAAGGCTTGCTTCCGGTGTTTTATGTGATAAGAATGTGCCGCCAAGTCTTAAGGGTAAGTTTTATAGAGCGGTGGTTTGATCGACTATGCTGTATGAGTTTGAGTGTTGGCCAGTCAAGAACTCCCACGTGTAAAATATGAAAATAACATAGATGAGGATATTGAGATGGATGTGTGGGTGTACCAGGAGAGATAAGATTAATAATGAAGCTATCTGAGACATAATAGGAGTAGCCTTCGTGGAGGACAAGATGCGGGAATCGAGGCTGAGATGGTTCGGACATGTTAAGAGGAGAAGCATCGATGCTCCCGTTAGGAGGTGTGAGAGTTTGGCCATGGTGAGTTTGAGAAGAGGTCGAGCTAGACCTAAGAACTACCGAGGATGGGTGATTAGGCAGGACATGGCGATGCTTCAGTTCACTGAGGACATAACCCTTGATTGGAGGGTGTAGAGGTCACCCGGGTCCACTCCTACGGGTGTATAAATACACGAAAAGGTGTTTTTGAATGGACTTTTGACCTGGGAAGCTTTGGGAGAGCATTGGAGGCTACAAGACACGAGATTCCATCATCTTCCCATCAATTCAATACGAGAGTTTGGATTGTAAAGTTAGATTGATGCTTTCTTATTCTTCAATTATAATTGTGATGACTTCTCCATGATTATGGAGTAGTTTACATTAGGGTTTGATGGATATGGCGTGTTGATAAATATTTGTGGATTTTAACTCTAGTTCGTGCTTAAATTCGTTTATGAAGTTTTGAATTGTTGCAACTTTGTTCATCAGTTTATTTAACCGAAAGAGGAATATCTTGGTTATCTTTGCATTATTTTGTTTGATTTAATTTATTGATTCTCCTAAGTAATCGAAAGAGGTTGTTGAGTTGTTGAATCAAGTTAGGAGACTATATGAGACACGTTTTCCTAAGGACCAATCCATTAACGCATGCTTGCATACCAGTTCTTATATTAGTTCATGTTTGAATTAATCATCGAGTGAATTCGTACGAATCATTAAAATATTAGAGTGAATTAAACTAGAGCTAAGCCCCAAATAGTTATCTTGCACCTATCTTGTCAAACCCTTATCCCTCGCATTGATAAGAAACCACTATGTGAATCCCCAATTCCTTACTGTCAATTGTCAATTACATTATTTAGTAGTTAATGTAACGACCCGGCCGGTCGTTTTTGGAATTTACGCCCCGATCCCCTATTAACTGCTTCCCCTAAGTTCATTTTTGCTATTTTGGTTTGCCGGGACGTTCAGTGTTAGGATTCGGAGTGTTTTGGGACACTTAATCCCTAAATGAGAGCTTAAGAGTTGGAAAGTGGTCCGTAATCGGAACAGTGTGAAGACGGCCTCGGAATGAAAATTCGATGGTTCCGTTAGCTCCGTTAGGTGATTTCGGGGTTGGGAGCGTGTCCGGAATATATTTTGGAGGTCCGTAGCTCATTTAGGCTAGAAATGCCGAAAGTTGAAATTTTGAAGTTTTCGGTCCGATAGTGAGTTTTTGATCCAAGGGTCGGAATGGAATTCCGGAAGTTTCAGTAGCACCGTCATGTCATTTGGGATGTGTGTGCAAAATTTCAGGTCATTTGGACGTGTTTTGGTTAGGTTTTTGATCGAAAGCGTATTTTTGATGAAATTGAAGTTCTTAGGCTTAAATCTTTGATTAAATCGGGTTTCCGGTGTTGTTTTAGGTGTTTTAAGGATTGGTACAAGTTTGAATAAGGTATTAGGTGAAATTGGTGCTTTTGGTTGAGGTCCCGAGGGCCTCGAGATGATTTCGGATGGTCGACGGGAAGAATTGGAGAAGTGTGCAGCAGCTGAAGTTTTCTGGTTCTGGTATTTCCGCTTATGCGGCTTGGGAACCGCAGAAGCGGAGCCGCAGAAGCGGCCTTGGCCATCGCAGAAGCGAGATTGGGCATCTCCCTCAGGAACCGCAGAAGCGGTCGAATCCCGCAAAGCGAAATCGCAGAAGCGGTTATGTGTCCGCAGAAGCGGAACCTTGAGACTTAAGTGAAAACGCAGAAGCAGTAATCCCTGGTCAGATATAGAAATTTCGAGGTTTGAGTTTCAAAAGTTGGAAAAATCAATTGAGAGCTCGGGAGAGGGCGATTCTGAGTGGGTTTTGAAGAGAAGATCATTGGGTAACGTTTTCTTAATCCCTTTTTGTTATATTCCATCAATATGTAGTTAAATCCATCTTTTAATTTTGAATTGAGGGTCAAAATTTGGGAAAAATGGAAGAAACTTCTTGGACCGAGAATCTAAGTTTTGAGCGGGTTTTTGATATCCCATTTGGGAGATTTTTATATGGTTAGACTCGTGAGAGTACGAGAGTTCTCAAAATGTGAAAATTAACCGATTCCGAAATGTTGGCTTGAGGGGCGTTTTGGACATTTTACCTATTTTCGCGCCTTAGCTTTAAATTTAATAGTGGAATCAGTTGCTTGCAATGTTATTTACGATATGTAATTGAATTGAATAGATTTGGGCCATTAGGAGTCGGATACACGTGGCAAAGGCGTGGTTCCTAGTTGATTTTGTGCCGGTTCGAGGTAAGTGGCTTGTCTAACTTTGTGTGGGGGACCTTCTCCCCTTAGGACTTGTTATTTGATGATTGAGTGACTTGTACGTGAGGTGACGAGCGCGTACTTGAGCTAATTGTTGAAAATCCGGTTTACACTTAAATGATCAAGTTGATATTCCTTTCCTATTTTTTCTGTTTACTTGCAATATAGCTTGTGATAGCCTAGAAAAGTATGTTTAATTGACTTAATTGGGTTAGTTGCTTTATTTGCCTTGTTGCATTACGTGAAGTATGTTAGGCTAGATTTCCTGTTGCCTTGGTGTTTAATTCGGTTTTTGATTTCTCTCTTGCTGTTGGTGTGTATTTACATTGGAACTACAGATGTGGGATTCAGGTAGCTCCCCCTTTTTTATTTATTTTGGGACTACGGATTAGATTCCCGGTAGATCCCCCTGCACATTTATATTTGGGACTACGGATCGGATTCCTGTAGATCCCCGCGCATTGATAGTTGGACTACGAGACGGTATCCTGGGAGATCCTTCGGATATACATATATGATAGACTACGGGACAGTATCCCGGGAGATCCACTAGATAGTTGAGAAAGGACTACAGGACGGTATCCTGGGAGATCCTCAGTGATATTTTTGGCATTGAATTATACATTTCTGTGTTTACTCTTTACTTCGGTTAATTGTTTTTGACTTATATATTCTGTCTTATTTCGCTGATGTTTCCATTATTCTACCTGTTTGCGTACTGTACATTATTATTATTATGTTTATCTCAGTCGGGCCCTGACCTTCCTCGTCATTACCCGACCGATGTTAGGCTTGGCACTTACTGAGTACCGCTGTGGTGTACTCACGCCTCTTCTGCAGATGTTTTTCATGTGCAGACCCAGGTACCTCCACTCAAGCGCATTATTAGTGATCCAGGAGAGCCACAGATACTTTGAGGTATATCTGCCGTGTCCGCAGACCGAAGAGTCTCCCTCTTATTCTATCCTGTAGTTGTTTAGCTTCTTGTCTTTCTTTGATGTAGACGCTTCTGGAGTTTAGAGCCTTTATTTTGCATTTCTATAGCCTGTGTTGCCCGTGAGTTTTCGGGTTTTAGGATTGTTGTCTTAGATTTGTGATGTTGAGTTGTATATGCCAAGCGGCATATATACATTTTTCCGTAAGTTATTTAGTTTTAATTAATTATTTCCGCAAATGATATTTCCGCACTGTCAGGCTTACCTAGTTATAGTGACTAGGTGCCGTCATGACATGTTCACGGACGGTGAACTAGGGTCGTGACAAGTTGGTATCAGAGCTCTAGGTTCATAGGAGTCACGGAACACATGCCGGTTTATTAGAGTCTCGTTGATCGGTACAGAGACGTCTGTACTTATCTACGAGAGGCTATGTAACTGTTTAGGAAAATTCTTCACTTTATTTGATTTCCTGTCGTGCGATATTTTTGACATCAATTCTAAACTTCTGTCTTCTATTCTCTCACAGATGGTGAGGACACGTGCTACTCGAGACGATCAGGCACCTGCACCCCCTCCTCCAGCCGTCAGAGGCAGGGGCCGGGACAGAGGCCGTGGACGCGCACGGGGTGCAGCCAGGGCACCTGCGCGTGCTGCCGCTGAGTACCGCTAGCAGATCCAGTCGGAGTTCAGGCACCTGACACGCCTACA